CCGGGCTGCGGCCGCACGGCCCGGAGGCCCCCGCGCCCTGGGCGCCAGCGCAGACGCGAACCCGCGCCCTCAGTCCGGAGGCGAAGCTCGAAGGTACAGGAGGGGGTTCCGGTGTCGGGTGCTTATTTTCCCCAGGTTGTGCCAAGGCGCTTGGGAGTGGACCTGGGGACGCCAGTTGTTTATGGAAATGGGGATCTGCCTTATGTACGAACACAGATAATTTTTTTCCCCGGGTGACTAGGGGATTGGCTGTGCTCCCCTTCTCCTCGCGAAGTTGTTTTCTGCTGGTGGATCGTTGTAACTTGATCCACTCCGCGGACGCGCGTGGGTGTGTGTGTGTGTGTGTGTGGTGGGGGGCGGCCGGGAATTGGGGGCGACAGGAGAACTCTTCTGCGTTGGCACTTGTTCCGACTGGTGTTTGCGGTGCCTGGAGGGGCTTCCTCCAAAGATAGTTTTGTTGTAAAAGTTTTGCGAGTGTGTGTCTGACACCATCAGCCGGGCCGGGGCAGGACCCCGGCACTGCGCTGCTGAGCGGGGAGAGGTCCCGGGGCGCGACCAGGACGGGCCGAGGGGAGGCTGTCCGGCCGTGCGCGTCTACACCGCGTGCTCCTCCCCAGAGCGCACAGCCCTTGCCGCACTGGTGGCGACTGCAGCCGTGCATTGGCACCCGCGGGGCTGGGGTCAGCGGAGTCGGGGCTACCGGTCCCCAGGAGCTGGGGTGGGTGGAAATCCTGGCCAGCAGAGCTCCCCAGCCCTGGACGTTCTCGTGGTTATGAAATCAGCCATGCTCAAAGTTCTGACAGAACTGCCCTAGGCGTGAGGGCTCTGATAAGTGGGGTAGCTAAGTGTCCGGGGGGGAGGGCAGTGTCACCTACTTGCGGGTGCGTGGGGAAGTCTATTTGGGGCGAGTGCTTTATGTGGAACCCGGAGGGGCTCATGCTGGAGCCAGGCTGCGGGAGTTGGCCTGGCGCGGGGTTTGTGTACTGAATGGGTGTACGTGTGCGCCTGGGAGGCGTGTCGGCGCCTGAGCCAGTAGGGTGTGCAGGGTGGGAGGAGGCGCCCAGAGGTGCCGCCCGCCGGCCTGCCTGCCTGCCGGCTTGTAACTCCAGGAGACCTTGGAGGGGGCAGGGAAAGGTAACGGGAGGCCCGAGGGCTGGGAAGTGGCAGGAGCTCCTGCACAGGATTTAAGTGCCGGGGACTTGAAAATTCTAGACCATGGCCTTTCAGGAGCAGAGGGATGGAGCTCCCAGGAGACCTGCAAAGGCCGAGGATTCTAGGATATGTTTGGATATGTGGGTACAGAATCCTAGACCCGGACCCAAGTCGGAGCTGCGGAGCTGAAAGTCTGGGGTGCTGCTGTCCACAGTCAAGACTAGATGGTCTCTGAGGTGTTTACTGTTAGATTCCCTGATGTGTGTGCCTGGGAAGGCACCCACCTTCCCTCGCAGATATTGTGGCAGCTCTGTGCCCTGAGCAACTGGTGTTCTAGGCTGGTTTCCACCTGGGTCACCCTGGAAGTCCTTGTTCCTGGGGAGCCCACGGATAGACCTTGGAGGTAACTAGAAACATTTCCAGAAATCAAAATGCTGGATAGAAACAAAATAAAATGATTTAGCAGACAGGGTCCTTGATTCTATCTTTTCTGTGATTGGGGATTCTGTTTCCTTTTGAGAAAGGCAAAGCTGGATTCCGAAGGGGTCTCCGGTTTTTTATGGTTTCCCTTCGGAAGGACTTGGAGAGCATCATTTGTAGCCGAAGCATGTCCCACGCCTCATCTCCTTCCACCCTTATAAACTTTCTGCTTCACATTGGCCTAAGAGTTGGTGAGTCGACATTCAGCTTTCCTTGTGGAGTAAATATATCATAGTGAAATTGCAGCATTGGTTTCCTGAATGCCACTGAAGGCCAGCACTTAATGGGCAAAGGTGTGAAACGAAAGTCTATAAATGCAATGACAAAGTGCCGACATAGGTACTTCTTTTTTTTTTCCAAACCGAGCATAACTTTGCCTTGCAAATATTCTAGGCAGAGTTTGTGACTGTGTTTCTGGTTATTAGTTTTTAAACAGCGAACCACATAATAAACCACTTAAAAATGGATACTGGACACTTTCTCTGTGCTGTCTCTGGCACCTGTGTTAACAGATGTTGATGGTGCTTGGTAACCTATGGGATTGTCATGTCGAGTATCTCGTTAGCTGAGGACATGTTTATAGCATAATGTAATAAATGGTGCCCCGGTTGCAGCCTGCTTCTGCCAAGTGCATGAAGCACCCCAGCATGGAAACAAATCTTGAAGCTGGTCCAACTTGGCGAGCCTTTTTGGCTATCTGCTGGTAAGCATCATTAATGTAATGATAAATCTGAGCGATAGAGTGAGAGCACCACACAGTAAATTGTTGAACTTGGAAACAAGGCATGGGTTATATTTTTGAAATGAGCTAACCCGAAGCTAAAGCTTCTGTCCCTGTCATTCCACTGGTAAATTGCACAATTATGGAGATGTGGTTGGCTTTTAGAGAACAAATTTTTAAAAACACGTCAATAATAAAAATAACTTCTATTTCTTAGAGTGCTCATGTGTCGCTCCAAACAATCACTTTTCCTTTAAAAAAAAAACCACAAACACACCTCTATGATCTCTTTGGTGATGATTTAAATAATGAGTATTTAACTCACCTAATCGCTCTGTGAATCTTGAATTAAGACTTGAATTTGGGAAGACGGGTCAGCCCTCCACTAGTGGTGTAAACAAGGTGAATTGAGATTTTTTTGACAGTTTTTTTTTTTCCTTCAGTATAAACAATGTGCCCAATAGAATAGTTGACTGGAATGATGACCAACTTGAGAGTTAACTCTCTATCAGGTACATGAACTTCCTGTAAATGGGCCAGCCCACCTTTCCTTGGATGTAATCCGATGGGAATGTCTCTTCCTCGCCGGCTAGTCCATTCTAGGAGAGACTCGTTTTTAGAAAGTTCTGACTTGTACTGAATCAACATTTTCTTCTACCTCTTAGCCTACGGTTTAGTTGCTGGAGCCACACACAGTGAATCTAATCTCTCCCCATTCTGTACTATATTCAAAAGTAAACATGTTCCTTCCTCCTGAATGCTTCTTGGCCTGTTCTTGTAGACTTGCCTCACCCACGTGGGGTCCCACCCTTCTCTACCCTGACCACCGTGTCCTAGATTCCACGTTCCCGCCATCCTCGTGTGTACTGTCTGAAACCCAGATGTAGAATCAATCCTTAGTTCTGGACTCTCTACATCTATTAAGGCAGCTTAATATTTATGAGCTTTTTAAGCCATCTCGTTCCACTGTTTGCTAATTTCAAACCTATAAACAAGATAACACATTCTTTTCAGATTATTAATCATCCATAGTCAAAACATAAGTTTCCAAACATTTTTTTGTTCCTGAACTTTTTATAAATCTATGGGAAATAACTCTGCCAAAGTTATTGAGTTTTACATGTAATAAAAATAGCTCCTTAATTTCTCTCAAGTACTACCAACCCCCCCAAATACCAGATGTAAAGTGTTCTGAAGACAAGCAAGTTGAAGCTGCATATTGGGTAGAGCCCATGTTACAAGGCGTTCTTTTCGTGGACCTCATTGTCTGCTTCCCCGGGGGTGAGTCAGTAGCAGCAGTCAGGCATTCACTCAAGGCAGTCAGAGCAGGCCCTCTGGCCCCCGGGGCGGTGAAAGTGCATCAGACAAACTCTTCCTCAGGCCACTGGGATTTACGATGAACATACAGGATGTGACTGAGCCAACAACCTTCTCTTCCTCTGGAGGCAAACAGCCTGCTAATGCCCCAGGGGAGCCTAAATCGGGCCTGTCCCAGCGTCAGTACTAAGGAGGTTCTGGCTTCCTGTTGGGGGTCTGGACCCAAGTCTGATAAAGTTCTGATGCTGCTCACTTCCCAGGTCCTATCCCTGTTGGAGGAAGGGAGCAAAGCTGGCATATACACGAGGGCCGGGTGTGGTTCAAGGCAAGTACTTTGGGGCCCATTGGACCTCAGCCTGAATCTGACCTTTGCCACCAGGCATGCAGATTAGCTCCTCTGAAACTCACTTTCCTCTGAAGACTAACTCCTACTGCCCAGGGCAGAGGACAAACCACCTCTGCAGCGCTTATGGCCTGCACTGGGCATGGGACCTACCTGCTGTAATTGATTGCTCTTTTGCGTATCTGTCCGGGGCTTCCCACCTAAATTATGAATTTCCCCTGCCACCAGCTGAGCATCTGCCACAGCTGAGAATCTGTCTTCCTGCTGGAAATGTTAATGGTTGATGATGGTGAAGAAAATGGTGTGTGTTTTCCAGCAAGTCTGGGTATGAAAGAAATTATTTTTCTTAGCAAAGAGAAAAACTAACCTGTAATACATGTTGACATCTGGGCCTTGCTGAAGCCCCTACTCTGCACAGACCTCAGTCAGGACGGGAGCGGAGCCAGTGCCGTTCTTGGGCTCTCAGTTGATACTGTCCGTGCTGTTCCCTCACGTGTGCGTGCAGGGAGCTTCCTCACTCAGCTCCTTGCATCACGGTCTCTGTCCGCATTACGTTTGCTCCTTTGCTCGATTCTGTTCTACAATAGGAGGAAATAATCGGTGATAAAGTGCATTTTACCTTCAAATTTTCATTTCATTGCTTTCCACTTCATATCCACCATCACCGCCCCGGAAACTGCAGCAGGCCCACTGATAAGTCCTTGCATGTGTGGTTTCCAAATCGGAGTTCTGCTTAGAAATGAGGGACCCCCAAGTTAGGATAGCATAGTATAATACTAAACTGGGTGTCAGGGGACCTGGGTTTTCTCTAAGTTCTGCCTCTAATTTGTAATTTTTGCAAGCTACTTAACCTTCCTGAGCTTCATATTTCTTTCATGTTAACAAATAGACAACAAAAGTGGAGTAAACAAGATGACTTCTTAGGATTCTTAGGAATCCACTTAATTATTGAATTTTTCCTCTCGGCTCCTTTGGTGCTTTGCTTGAACTTATCTGAGAATACCTATTTCTTTTTTAGTTTCATAGCCTATTTTTTACATATTGTCTTCCTTGCACGGCTGTAGATTCCTCAAGAACATG